TCCAAAGGCGAGCTACAGAAGGTATCGTGGGAATGAGGCAAAAACCACATCAGGACAGGCTGAAAGATCTGTGACTGCTCTCTAATCTACCGTAGATTGCCTGGTGACTTGATAACGGCTCACAAAATACTCAGTAACCCAGGTCATCGAACACTGAAATCCTATCGAACGGCCGCTGTGGCGATCCTCGTGGTGACCCGAGGAGAATCGCCCACCAAAGAGGGAAAACCAGTGTGTTATCACACTTCTTTCTGCGAGTTTGCGGCCGCTGGAAAGCACTGCCTGCCCAGATTGCACCGCTCCGTTTGTTGACAGCTTCAAGAAGAGGTTGGACAGTTACACAGCGACGCACGGTTTGCGCTGATCCGACTGGGATGAGGACCAGGCTGACATGACCTACTAACTCGGTACGGCCAGCCGTTACTGAGCCCTTTGTAACGCCACTATCACTGGGAACTTAGCTCAACTTTACACCTCCCTATAGACGTCCCCTCCAGTTACCGTCTCCTACTGATTGAATTACTACAGTCCCATTCGTCCTTAATGTTAGTTATTCTCCCTCCTTCTTTTTCGTTCTCAAACTTTAACGAAATCCCTCCTTACTACCCCTCCATGTAAATCCACCAATGTTTCTTCTTCCGTGCCCTTTCCTATCTCCTAATCGTCTCTTTCTTTCTTTTTTCTTTTACTTTTCCAGTCGTTTTTCCCTGCACTTTCTCTCCCTTAATTTCTCTGCACATGTTTTTCATCTCCATTTTACAACCAGTCGACCAACTGTCTGCTGGTACGACACTTGAGGAACCATTATAGGAGCCCTGGAAGTGAACTTCCCACAGGTCCTCATTATGGGGGATTTTAGCCTCCCTCAGCTCTTTACCACAGAAAGTCCATCTACTGCTCTAAAAGACTTTCGGGAATTGTTACCGGAAAACTCCTTGACAGAACAAATCTCCCAGTGCAGTCGCGGGGGGCCTGACGGTAAGGCGTCCGAGTAGATTATATTTTCACAAACCAGTCCATTGGGGTAAGCAACTTGAATGTTTTCTCCCTCAATATTTCTGTATCTAAGGCACCCGTTCCCGATCAGCCTCTGGCTAGGAATTACTAGAGAAGTGGTTTCGAGAAGGTTCGACAAGATCTGGAAGGTTCCGCTTGCTTAAATTGCGATGACCTACTGGATCTTGATGCTAGATGCAGCCTGTTGAAGAATATAACCCTACAGACGATAGAAGACAACACCCCTCTGGTCCCAAGAAGAACTCACAAGTTCTACTGCTCCCGGCTTAAGTCAAGCAATCGCAAACTAATACGGCGTAAACGGTCGTCTCGGAATCTATGGTGGTGCACTAATGGCCCTTTTGACTGGCTAAATTATAAAGTCATCCGTAACAAATGTACAGTAAGGATCAGAAATGACAGAATAAACCACCAGACACAACTTCGTAGAACTCTAGAGGGGGATCATGGGATACTGTGCTCGTTGATGAAACAGAAGAGTAACAGTTCACTAAATTTACAGGACCCCATTAGTTTGGAGATTCTCTGTTCCAACTCCGAAGTTGTAAACCCACTAGCTCATGAGTTCCTAAACAACTGTCATTTGGGAGGTAAAACCCCGCCCCTGTCGGACACCCGTGTCACAGAGGGACTAAATCATATAGAGTTTAAACCCTCTGTAATTATGGAAATACTAACCCTAACCGAACCCGAATGAGTCTCCAGGAATCGATGGTATCCACCCAGATGCACTCAAGGAGTGTGCTGAAGTTCTGTGTGCCCCACTAGCAAACCTCTCCAAATGCTCGTTTCTGGAAGGCAAGTTACCCCGTGATTGGGAACCAGTGGCTGTCGTCTCAATTTATGAAGGTGGAAACAAACTGCTCGCCTCCAACTACAGACCAATCTCCCTGATCTCTTCAGTTGCGAAGGTCATGAAGAGAGTCATAAATGGCTCACTTCGTGATCACCTACTTCAGAAATCAATCCTAGACGACTGTCAGCATGGCTTTCTACCGGGAAGGTCATGTAACACCAACCTGTTGATAGCTTGGAATAGCCGGACACTCTCTGTCGAGAAGAAAAAGCCTACACACATTGATTTACTTGACTTTTCTAAGGCCTTTGACAGGGTAAATCATGATATCCTTTGTAATAAACCCCAGCTCATGGGTGTACACGGAAAATTATTATTCTGACTTAGAGATTATCTGTACACCAGGGTGCAGTCAGTTAGAGTCGGCTGCTCTCTATCTGACTGGTTTGCGATGCTGAGTGGTGTGCCTCAAGGTTCCATAATGGGCCCGCTACTGTTCCTTGCTTTTATCGATGACCTACCAGGGGTCCTTAATTCACATTCACTATTATATGCCGATGATCTGAAGATCTGGAGGGAAATACAGGAACCAACGGACACTTCTATCTTCCAGGAGAACCTTACGAAAATCCTTAATTGGACTACAGAAAACCTGCTTCCTCTTAACTCGAAGGAGTGTCGAATTATGATAGTTGACAAACATAAAGGTAGTCCCAGTTCTTACTGTCTAGGTGAAATAAATATCTGTCACTCTAACATGGAACAAGATCTGGGAGTTACACTAAATGACACACTAGGAGCCCCTTTTCACTGTCGCCTCGCAGCTAATGGGACCTATGGAGTCCTAGGGTTTCTCTCGCTAACCTTAGTATGTCTAACTCCTTCTGTTTTCACCACAGTGTGTGCTTGTACATTCGTCCTCATTTAGAAAGAATTCGCTCGTAGTGTCCCCATACTTGAAAAAGGACATTGCCATCCTAGAACGGGTACAGAGAACAGATACAAGCAAGTGATTAGGTCACGGCACAAACCGTACACAGACCGCTCAGTTGCTCCTCAGCTGCACCCAGTGCAACACCGGAGGATCAGAGGGGACATGATCATGATGTGCCACATCGCCCACAGTTCCCTCCATCCCAACAGATCCCTTCTAAGCTTTAGTCGGAAAAACGACTTGAGGGGTTACCCGTTAAGAATAGAGCATGAGAGACACGTACAAAGATCCGTGCCAACTCATTTGCAGTTAGAGTCTGTAAACGGTGGAATTCCCCCTTGAGCAGTTGTTACAGCCCCATCCCCTGATACCTTTAGAAGGAGGCTGAACGCACACCTGAGTCCTACGGTACCTATGGGTTCTGCCCGAGAAGCTTTTCCCAGATCAGATGCAGTGATACTAACTTGAGACCAGATTAATTAATTAATCGTATCTCTATCCTTTCAGGTTTTTCAGAACCAGGAAGATAATTGTGACCATTCCAAACTCAGAACGTATTCCAATAGGACAGACGTAGAACCCGAGGAACCGCAGTTCGCTAATCCTACAACACGAAGTTTGAAGTTTAAACCCACCTGCACCACAGTTCTCGGAAGAAAAAGCAAACAAACAACACTCCCTACAAATTTAACCAACACCCACCGTCCATCAGGCTAGCCAGAGCTGCAGCAGCCGAGTGAGTAGACCTACTGCATCGCAATCCTCCAAAGACCTAAAGCCATTCCGCATGACCTAGAAGTGAGCGCGAAGAAATCAATTGGTTTCCACTAGCTCGCAAAAAGACATTGGAAGGCAGTCTGAACGATTTCATACGGTCACAACTTCAATTCTTCTTTATATACACTTAAAAGCAAAGCTCTAGAAAGTAGTGGTCCGTTGCTTCTGAGTGTGTAAGTTTCTATTGCATCATTAGACATTTGGAGCACTGTAAGGTCTGTGGAATCTATGGCATTACAGAAGGACTCAGAACACTAGAGGAATGGGGAACTAATAACGAGCTGGCATTTGATCTGGATAAGTGCCGGTCCATGTTTTTCCGCACTTCTGATCCCCAGAAAACATCCTACTATCTCTGTGGTTCATGTCTATCCCATATCACAGTAGAAAAAGACCTGGGTCTAACGGTGACGGAGAAACTGGACACCAGTTCCAACTACCCAGGTGATGTCTCAAAAGCACATCGGGTACTACACTTTGTGCGCAGACAACCGGGTGCCCTCACCCCAGAACTCTTTCTGAAGCTCTAAAAGACTTACATACGGCCCACTTAGAGGTCCATAACGTCTTCGCTCTACCACAGCTGAAAAGAGGCGCGAACTGACTGCAGAAAGTCCAGAGGCGAACCACGAAAGGGGTTGTTGAAATGCAACAAAAACCATACGAGGATAGACTCAAAGACCTAGGTCTATACTCCCTTAGCTATCGAAGGATACGTGGCGGCTTAATATTGGCTTACAAAATAATGAGTAACCCGAGTCACCCAAACAGGGGAGTCCTACCGAGTGGCCACTACTCAGATCCTCGAGGAAACCCCAATGAAATAGCACACCAGAGGTCAAAAACGCATGTGCGTTCACAGTTCTTCTCCCTCCGAGTCTGTGAGTACTGGAACGCACTACCAGCAGAGGTGGTCTCCGCCCCAACTGTTGAAAGCTTCAAGAAGAGGCTAGACAGTCATGCAGAGACTCACGGTCTACCCACATATAGCTGGAACACGAGGCGATATCAAGCCACCCCAACCAGTTTTCTTTCTATTGTAACCACTTCAGCCCTTTTCACCCCTTCCACTTGCCATAAGTTGGCCTCACTTACGTAAGTTCTTCATACCTCGCACCTCTACTCACCTTACTTGGGTGTAAGTAGATTACTCCATTAGTCCACTTTTCCTCTCTTCTTTTACTCACACAAACACTTCCTAGGTTTTCTCTTCACTGTCCTCAACCCTCTCTAGCTACTAGTCCTAACAACTGTCTGGCAACTCGACACCTGAAGAAGCCAACTGCACCACAGTCCAAGGTAAACAAACCAACACTTAACTTCTTGTTCTGTAAATCAGAACTATATCAGACGAGTGGCTGGACCTACTGCATCGAAATCTGCCAAAAGATCTGGAGCCGTTCCGTAAGACCAAGAAGCAATCACGAAGAAATCAATTGTTCACACAAGCTCGTTAAAAAGATATTGGATATTGAAGGTCGTTGGCCCACTGGCGCACTGATCACTAAGGTAAGACTGGGCCGTTTTTATTGTCTCCGATTCTTGTGGTAGGAATAGGAGATACTTTTCCTTTGCATCGTCTGTGGATGAACATGTATCAATGCATTAAGTTAGGGTGAGCCAAACTATAAAAATATGAGAGGGCACTTGTGCTCACTCGTACTAGCCCAGTGTGGTCGTGACTATTTTGGCTAACTACGCTTAGTTCTACATACAGTGGGGAGATTTGGTGGAAAATACATCACTTAGGGGGGGGGGAATTAAAGCATCCCGCTCCTTCATCCTAGTTGGTAACCCAACCAACAAACGCTCTACGCAAACTTAGGAACATTCAGATACAACTCTTAAGTCTCGACTCAGTTACAGAAGGTCCATTTGGCAACTTGCGTCTTCTGTGGGACCGACTGGCGAGATATTTAACTAGCCATTAAGGAATGAGTATACTGCGCTGCAATCTGTTCTGTCATGTACGGCTGTGAGACATGGTCGTTAAAAGAAGACATGAATCGATTACTGAGTTTTGATCACAGATGTTTTCGTAGCATAGCTCGCGTCAAGTAGAATCACCATGTCAGCGATGTCGAGGTTAGGCGAACGGTACTAGGTAATTATGCCGATAATGTCGTGAACCTTCAGTGACTGAGGTGACTTGGACTTGCGTTGCGCTTGTCATGGCACCACCTTCCTCGATCTGCCATGTTAGAAGTTGGATTAGGTCGCAAGAGAGTTCAGGGTGGCAGGAGTTAATGAAGTCTCTCATTGGTGGTCTAGTCCGTGTGGGGATATATAGACTGTCTGGATGAAATGAATCAGTGGTTGAGGACTCTTGATTACATGGCTGAAAGCTGGTCACAATGGAGCGGATGTATTCACTTATTGACATCTAACGCTTGAATATCTGCACTAATTGTTCTCTCACACTACTTCATCTACATAAATATCAGTCTTCTATTTGCGTGTTGTTTGTATACTGCTGTGAAGTCTGCCATCTTCAACCAATGCACCTGTGTGCGAGGCTCTACGTTAAATTTTTCAGTCAGTCTTTCCTGGTCTATTCACGTTTAAGCTGTCCCGCTAGCGGTGAATCCTTGGACCCCATCATAGCGTAGCTGTTTATACTATAAAGGCAACTGTTTTCGTCTATCCGCTATCCAACAGGCTTCTCTGATACGATAAGACGTCGAGGGAACAAGTGTCTCACCAGCATAGCTCGTTAGGTCATAGTAATATACTTGCCCGACCATCACATCAAGGTAGCATCTATCTGTAGGGTGTTTGTAATGTGCATCCATTAGTATTTTGTTTGCAGATACCGATATTGATGAACATTCTAACTTAATTAATTCAAACATCAAGGTATTCATAACAATTATGTACAGTGAATCACACTCTGCTGACAAAATTGTCATGGACAATTGTGGAGTTAACTGGATCTAGTGGCACCATCTTCATGACCATTAAAACGTAAAAAGTTGAGGTGTTATATATTCTATACAAGCCTCATTATGTATTGATGATCTCATACACAACACTTATCCGAAATAAAATTCTACTTTCTCAAGGAAATATTCATTGGCTGTACTTTGACAGTGGTTGGTTTTTAGATGGGTGCAATCCATTCTGGTACATATGTTACCCGTTAAAACATGGTCTCGATTAGTACAGGTGACTAAATTTATTATTTTAAAGTGTTTTAATCCCTGGTGAGGTCATGCGTGCGTACTACTGAGAAGTCCCATACTATGACGAAATAGTTATGATAGCCTGTTTGTGTTATATTACAAGTAAGTTACAAATATTTTTTGCCCGCATGAAGAATTACATTCGGTTTATTCGTTCTGAGTTTGTGTATAAGTGTGCTGATTCCTTTTTTTTCAGTCACTAAATATTGGATCTGATTTCGTCATGGCACAAAATCTTCAAGGACTTCTTCGTCTGGCCATCCAAAACTCTGAAAGCGCTCCAGTGGAAGTCATGGATCCGAAGGTATTGTTACATTCCACTTGTAAATGATGTTGAATGCAGGATGCTGCTTGGTTGAAAGATGCACTAACCGCACACACTGTTGACCTTAGTAAACAGCTAACCGAAGACGTTCGGAAGTTATCCTCCTATTTATCATCTTCAGAGCCTGATCTGAATGAAATGAAGAATATTATTGAAGATTTGCTAACTCTCACAGAAGATATAGATCTTTCAAATGATTTTCTGGTTGTTGGAGGTCAGGAGGTGTTGCTCAAACTGTTGTTTTGCGGACCACTTTCACTAAGAACAGATGCATTGCGTTTACTTGGAAATCTTACTCAAAACAACCCGAAAGCCCAGAGCTTGTTCACTGAAAATGGTGTTTTGGCAAGGTTGCTTTTGCTAATCGAAGAAAGCAAAGATCTCGAATTCCTAAGGTATTTATTCTTAGCCATTTCTTGTAAGTTTATTTACATTGACTAACTCGTTTTTGCTATTGGTATAAAACTAGTCTTTCACTCATCAAACAACTAGGTTGTGATCACATCATTAAATTCGGTAAATTGGCTAGTTAACATTACTTTTGACCCCGCTGCAAAAAGCTGTACGTAAGAAGCTTTCTTATAAGGTAGTTCTTCCAGGTTACGTGCTTGTCAAGCACTAAAAATGACATAGTCAAATACTTTCGAAAATTCCCAATATCACTTGAACTATGAAAAAGTCATTGAGACATGCTTGGTGAAAACAAACTACGTGAAACAAAGCGAAACGAAGTGACAAGGCTTGTTAGAGAATTAATAAGTGATAAAAAGACCAGTCCCCGCCTTTGGAAAAGATGTAACATCTTAATTAACATAGCTTGATAAAGTGTAGACTATATAGCAAGCATCTCTAAAATAATAGGGTCCTTTGATTGGACACTGCCATCAACACTGGTGAGAACCTCTGAAGACCCAACAAATGAATCTTTCTTTCGTTTATTGTAACTTGAATCAGTGCGTGATTCATTTTATTTGTCTGTACTCTTCAAAAGTCAATAAAATATGAGTGATGTTGATTAGAACCACTTAATTGTTTACCTAAATATTAAAAAAGTTACATAGGATTTGTTCATTGCGTGTGCAGTATTTGTTTAAAATTTATGTAGTAACTGTTTTGACTTTATTATCATGGGAGAGTTACAATTCATTCTGAACGGTAAATTCTATACTGGTACTTGCTTTCGCAACTAATATAACCATAAAACACTATGCGGTATGATATAATGCTACAATCGTCGGTCTGGACACTTGACTTTCAACAATGGAGTAATAGGTCCGAAATCTCCGTTTACAATGGTTTTAAGCAGTCAAGCGGCATCACTAACCGCCATGCAATAGATGTGTTTTACTGACAGAATAATCGAATGCATACTTCCTTTGGTTATACTTCAACAATGTTGTGCAAGGTGTTTCTTCTAAGCATTTCCTGTTTTAAGTAATAGAGGCCATTTCCTGATTTAAATTGCTGAATATCATATCAGACCACGATATTAAAGTAGTAAATGTAGGAAGTAGTGACAAGAAGCTAAAAGTTGCATCGGTTTTTATAATTATGAAATAAGAGAAGGAAGTTTGACTTAAACACCGTAGAGAGATCTCATTTGTCATTATATTATGTTTTTGTGATTTCGTTTTAGATCGTGATCATTTACCTTCTGGTCATTTAATTGCTGCAAGCTTCCGTATCGCAGACTGACTATGTATCATTCTTATCATGAAATTCATTAAAGTAATGTGATGTACCTGAATATGTGCACTTCCCATTAACTGTCCGCTTATCAAGATGACTTTCTGTCTGAGGCTAGGCGTTTTTACAACAATACAAATGAAACTATCACTTCAAGTTTCAAAACGAAATAGGGAGACAAACTAAGTTCAAATGGTAGGATGTCGAAACAAATCAAAGAAGCGAAGGGAAGTAACTCTATGAAAAGTAAAGTGTTGACAATTAAAAGGTAGTTGGAGAGTACAAACATTTGCGCTGAAATAGTCTGTTTCCAGCCACATCACTAGGTGTTTCCGAAAACTGGTTCACTGCATACCGACGGCTTAGTTCAATAGCTTCATGGGTTGTGTCATGTCCTAGTTTGACCAACCTTAAGCACTTTTAAAATACGATCGTACATTTGTCGAAATTTGTAAGGATGTCTTTGTTGCACATTCTTAGTCGTAACCGATAGAAAGCATCTAAATTGTGGCCTCGTATTTTCGATATTCATCAGCGAGACAAGCGTACCCAAAACCTTGAGGAGACTTATGTTTCCTTAGAGGCAGCCTTACTGTGTACTGAATTCAGGGACTTTACTAATAAGCTGTGATGCGTTTACCGTTCAGTGTTTGTTGTTAACCATGGGGGTTGGAACCCTAAACCCGAATGTCATTTTTGTTGGCAGTTATCATCCATTTAGATCTAGGGTGACGAGAAAACCGTTCAACAGACAGGATGTTTTGTTGCCCACAAATTCTCAGTGTTTGACTTTGAATGAGCATCGATTTCTCTGAAAATCAAATAAGACTTATCTAAGGAAGAAAAAAATATATAGCTGCATTAGTATAAGAATTACATTGTGTGGTTTAAGTCATCTAGGAGAACAAATGACAAATTGATCAGACCGGCCTGAGATAGTGGGCGTTCGAACTAAAAGCAGATGTGATTGGTCGCCTGTTAGTCCAGTTGTTAGATAATGACATACCCTATTCTTAAATTGTGTCAATATAACCAGCCTTGAGGAAGTTTATTCACAAAGGCTGTATAATCGCATTCATATACACTAGGTGTCTGTATTTAAAACTAGATGATGCCAGCGTGCTCCGTAAAATCATAATTCTCCGCAATTCGGCTACTCTTTAAGTGGTGTATTCATTTTTCACCAAATAAAGTAATAATAATTAAAGAGCCAACAGAGTCAACTACCGCACACTACCATCTGCTGTTAATTTCTTGAGATATTGTCTTTACTAAGTTAAGGCTAAAACTGAGTGGGTAGTCTGAAAAACGTGAGTTCCATCTTCCACTGGTGAAACACCTGCCGAGGTTGTATATCTCGGCTCGAAGCGCTGTGCACGAAATTGTATCTTGGTATATATACCCCTTGTTGAGAAAGTCGGGAAGCGATCGACGAACACAGCCAAAAATAATGCACTCTATCTTGTTGCATAACCCTTCTAGTTTCGTTGCTATACTAGCAGTGATTTCTTGTGTTTTGCTATTACAGGTCTTACTCGGGGTTACATGCCAGGTATTGATACATTTATTGAATTAGACGGCATCAATCTTTTGCTTGATGCACTTATACAACAAGCAGAAACTGAAAAACCAGAGAATATTCAACGTCTAGTAGACAGAGGTGCATTCATTATCCATTGTGTATTAAGAGAGCTTTCTCCTAAAAGATTACGTAAGTGTTTTATGAAATTACTCCTTGTTTCGTCTACTTATTACCCAATTAATAGCAACTGATCATATACCATACTCCGATAGCTAATTTTTCCTTTTTTCGCAAAGAATTGTGTTGCATAAGAGTGCTAGAATTCGGAAACTCGCTATGCATACAGTACTCTGATCAGTACTCGATTGCGCTAAGCACATGCATCCTCGAAAATTGCTGAAAGCGTAATGCTTGCGTCCATTCTGTATAGCACACAAAACCACGCAGACTAGACAGATCGGAATACGTATTTCTCATGGTACTACCGCTGCAGTCTTAAGGCGTTGAAGATTATTGCTAATAATAGCAGGGTAGGATGACAACAATTTGTGTCGAGTGACCAGAACTTCCAGTCACGACCTTTTTATTTATAAAGTGAGTCCATCTTTACAGTCGCACACTTATCTTGTTTTTAATAGCTTTTAAAGCTAGATTCTTACTATGGCGTGCATATATAAGCATTGATTTCGATTAGGAGAGGCAAATGTATCTCATCGCAGTTACTAGACGAAAAAAGTAATTCAGATGTAGTAATGATAAAGCAAACAACGTAAGTACTTTCCCACTTTGAAATATAAACTCAGCAATTATTCGCCATACTTAAACTGCCCAAACCAAGGAGTTAAATCCGCTTGTGATTATGCTCATTCTCATCGCTCAAGCCCTACTCATATATTAAAGATAGCGACTGTTAGCCAATAAAGTTGGCAGTCTCTACGGTTCGGAACACGTGAAACAGACACACGAAAATACACTGAGCATACTTCTTACACTCACTTGTTTTGAATTAGGTTCTCCATATTAGCCTTACTTTTTGATGTGTGGCGAAATTTCGAACAGATGCAGTACTCAGTTAAAATTTACCACTTGTGGCTGAAGCCATACCACTCTATAGTTGACAGCGAGTGAATATGAAAGTTGTCCGCATTCTTTTGAGCGACTATGGCGTCTCTTGATTACATGTTTAATGAACATTACCTGCATAGTAACATCTTAGATGTCATTTTTAGCTGTGGCTCATTGATTTAAGCATTCGACTTTAAAACATTGAGTCATGGAATTGAATTCTGCTCCGCTTAACGAAGTTTAGGCAGCTGTATATTATCATCAGCCCTTACACAGTAGGTGCGCTCTTTGTGTAGTGCATGAGCGTGCACGTCGTTGTCAAGTGCATTTCTTTTTTTCGACTTTCGAGCCGAGATGCTTCGGTCTCAGAATTTCCTTGTGGTTTATTTTATCATATATATATATGGGACTTTTCACATTTCAGCTGCTGATTCTACAACCATTGTCGACAAATTGATGAATCTCATGTGTCGTCTGGACAATCCTCAGGAACATTTGTTGGCTAGTTTGACAATACTATATCCATCCGATGACAGCTCTAGTTACGCTCAAGATGTTCATCCCAAAGAACTTTATAAATCATTTTTTGATTGGCTAAAACGGCAGTCTGACGAGCTTAACAAAATAAATGATCCAGCTGATGAAGAACGACGCGATTATATAAACTGCTTATTGAAAACTATTCATTTGTAAGAAATAATTATTTTCTAGTAATCTTTTTGAGTCATATCTCGTTTTAAACTGATATCCTCTGAAGTAAATGCGTTCTTAAACCTAGCACAAATATTTTAGCCACTGGCTCTAGGAATTCACACTTATACCAGCGCATGAAGTTTCCTGTCGCTGTCACGCGTTTACACGAACATGTACGAATGTTTATTAGAGCGTGAAGTATTCACCTTAGTTTCCAGATGAGATGAGAATTCTTAACGAGAAGATAGCAGTAACCTGGTGATGCCTTGGAAAAGTGAAACACAATGCACTCCCTTCATAAAACGATTTATATATCCTCTTTGGATGCCGTTATATACAAAATGGTTACACAGAGAACACCTTGGCTCCAATATTGAAAGCAAGTATAGACCATGTCCTCATGGTTTTCACAATTATCATCTGACTGCATACTAGCAACCAGGGTGACTGATATACCTCTCCACTCCTGCACAGCATGAGGGAACTCTACATGAAAGTCGAACAATTACGCAGAATTTTATCTACGCTATTTCAGTTTTCTGGCAGCTGATATTACTAAACAAGTCCTACTCATTTTCTGTTCACCTGCAAGGCATCTGTGGATTCAAAATGCGCATGCTCATCGGTGGCAAAGATGATGCAGGTGCCTAACTATAACTTGATGACTTCTGTCAAATATTAATTTCCTAGGCTATGACTGCCATGGAAATGAAGTTAAAACCTGTTGACTACTTCTCGTTGCTGTTACATTTTTGAAATGAACGGGTGGGTGCTTGATATCCATGTATATTTCAACTTAGACACACATGAACGTACCTTGTGCAGAGGTGCACCCGTTGGATTTACTTTGCAGCAGCACACGAACAGGAAATGGACTAAAAGGAACATTAGATTCGACGAAAGTATGTCAAAAGAGCGAGAAATAATTCAACCCAGCAAACTTTTTGTTGTCATAATCTCCGATATTTCACTTCGAAAACACCAAAACGACAAACAAAATCAACGTAGAAGCTCGCATACAAGTGTATTGGTACAAGTCGCTACACTTTACAGTAGTTTACAAAGAACACGTAGGTGGAAAAAGACTGATATCATTGTGGACAAAGTTGTGTGAGAGAATAAACAATTTGAAGATAACGGTTAGTGCGAACATTCAAGCTTTAGAAGACGTCAAAGAGTGGATAAATCTGCACCAGAGACCGATTTTCATCAAGAGTCCTCAGCCACCGATTCCTATCATCTCAGCTAGGCGGTCTACATCTCCTCACATGACTCAGACTAACGATCAGGGACTACGAATACACCACAGCCACTCAGCTAAGACTAAAAATCAACGGCTTCATGGGTTGCATTCAACTCATCACTAAAATAACCGTTATATTATAGGACCAAGATTATCACAAATGTTTGGTTGCTGCAACGGTGGTTTCCTTTCAGTAAGCGCTAACTTCAGCAGTAGTTATAAAAAGTCCTGTAAGCGTACTTTCGCAAGTGCGAAGAAAAGAAGTAAAGGCAATCGAATTTCAGACAAAACTAGAAGCTGCTGATAACCGCTGTGCGCCAAAATTTGATCAGAAGATGCTGCGTTATATCACTGGCAGTTACTGAGTAAGGTTTTGCTTATGCTCAGAAAGGATCATAAGAGTACCGCAGTAGTAAATTACGAGATATTGGAGTGTATCTTAAGAATGACTGGAAAGTACAGCTGAAAACCCTCAATGTTGACACTAGTCCACTGGATCTTATAGTGTCCGGGAAAATTTTTATAGTGACTTTTAAATCTGAATTAGACGAAATCAGTTCATACCTAAGGTTATGAAGACTAACCTATTTAAGCCCACATTAATTGGTGGTTAACCTGGCCTTTGCTAGTAGAACTCATTCAACACAAAGACTAATTAACACGATACCGTTACAGCAAATATGAAAGCAGACTCGTAAACGCTGGGAGGTTTTCAGTCAGCTCACTGACTTGCATTCTTTTCGCTGACTGGTTTATAATTTCAAGTACAACCAGTAACTATGTACACATCTTATGAGTATCAGCGAGAACTTCGATATCAATTCCTAAAAACGACTTATTCCATTTGCTAATGGCAGCGTTTCAATACGTTCATGAAGTACGAATCTAATTAAAGTGCCAGTCGTAGAAAGATTACGCCTCATTAGGCAAATTCGTTACAGGTTAGTATCAGGGTGTAGTTGGACCGATATGAACAGAAGATAATGGAATCACTGAGAAACGAACCCAATCATCACTTGTCGTAATGGAGTACAAGCGGGCAGAACGTATGGACAGAGATAAAAATATCCCACCCTCAAAAATGGCATAAGACGAACGTACGCGAAAACAGTAAGAAGAATTTTCCTGATATGGATATATCATTGCTAGTACATCTGAGCTTGGTATCGTTTCTTTCAAGCAACCCTTATAGGTTTTGACCTGACTTTTCTCCCGAGCACTGAAGGGGGTCATCAGACATTCCAGCCCCGACTGATAGCTACTAACTTGACATGGGGGTCGGGCATGTATATCACGATGACCCAACGAGCTACGCTCGAAGTCCTACCATACCAGAAAGGTCTACCAAGTGTTAGTTGGACAAAAGCAGTTAACCTTAACATGTTTTTAAACAAAGAGATGATGCATCATGGTGGCTTAGATCAATGGTGATCCATAACCATAGGGCGTTCGACTGAATCTTCTACGATACATGCCAATTTTTGTGGCATCAGAAAAGCCGTACATAATCGACCTCAAGGTGTCTGCGGTGGCACTTTTCTTTCTCAGGTACTTCAAGACATGGCCTTCCACGGTGTGGACAACCGGAAAGTATCAACCGCCCTCACAACTGTGCCCAAGTAACATTCCTTTTAATTGGAGACGCTGTAGTCTTCTGGACACCTTGAGTGGCAATTTGCGAATGCTTGGGATGCGTTTCTCGCTACCCAAATGTAAATTGTTGCTCCAGGACTGGTCTTCAACGGTGCCCCGGCTAACAATAGTGACGTGGTCGAACACTTCACTTATCTGGGAAGTCGGATTCGATTGTTTATTGAGGGTCTACTGTAATATGCTGCAGTCCGTTTTGCTCCACTGTGGCTGCGAAACATGGCCACTAAGGGTAGAAAGCATGAGAGGACTTCAGGTGTTTAATCACTATTGCTTTCGTAGCATAGGACGTGTCTTATGGTTTCACCACTCGAGTAACGCAGGAGTTAGGAGCTATTTTAGGGAGGAGAAAGTTACACCTAGAGTCACTGGAGTTAAGTGTGAACTTAAGTTGAAGTCTATCGCGCATATTCGTAGTGTCAAACTGCATTATGTCACATCAAAAGCTTTGAGTGAATCTAATTAGCCATACTTGTTCAGGAAGGGGAAACAGCCAAACCGTAAGCTTCATCAAGTCTGTTCTAACACAAAACTGAAAATATCGGCCATATGTCATTCACTTTCGATATACAGGATGAGATGAGACTACCAGCCTATAATATGAAGCTTAAGTATGTCAGCAATTAAAATACGTACCTCGTGCTAAGCTTACAGTCCAAAAATGTTTAACGTACAACGAAATTAAAAGCAAAGATTTAGGTCAGTACACGCCCCAAGCTATGCATGAAATGCTTACAAGCATATAACATTTCGAAACTCAAAGTAAATTGCTGCGCGAGATGATAAGCAGACAATGACCAGTAACCCACCCAATCCTTGAATTAGACTGAGAAGTCCCAACTTCAAGCCTATTGTGGTTGGCAAGCATTAACGTACACGTGTACTTACGCCATTACTGAAATATGTGAGCGATATTAAGTAGAAACACGTTCTTAGTCATCTTAACTACTGGTGGGGGAAATATCATTTGTTACGGCAGAAAAATGGTTGCATGCTACGTACTGAAGCAGGGTCACAAGTGCAGAAAATGCGAGGAAGGATTGTCATAGTAATGATGGGCAGTGGAATTGTCACCTAGACAAAATAATCAGATGAAGCAGGCTCCTAGAAGGTGCTTTGCAGGCATAGAAAATTATTCGGAAGGATGTCTGGTCGCAAAGCTGACTTTAACATCAAACTGTGGGACCCAAACTTATTGGTTTTTGCCTAGGTCCCGGTTCGGACTTCCTAGTCTTTACAGTGTACTCTCTGTAAACTTAGAAATTGGTAACGTCTTTAAATCATTGACAGTAGACTACATCCGTACAACGACATTCAACGAGAATAGGAATATTACGAGGTTCAACGGCTAAGTTTGCAAGATGATATTCTTTCATTCTCCGTAAACTTAAATTACAACTAAGAATCAAATCAGTGGGCAAACAAAACAATAGAGAAGTGAAATATCTTCGTGTATCATTTATTGCAGATGCTTTGGTTTATCACTTACATTCAGCGATTGCTGGAGTTACTCTCGACTCAGTCTTTTTGTTCCCACGCTTGTTATGTTTCTTCGCAAATTTCATATTCAGAAGGAACTTGGGGTCTACCTGTATCACATCTAGTTATTATGAACAAAGAACTTACCCCTTTAAGAGAGGGATACTTCTGTTTTTTAGGTCTGATTATTCCATTGCGATGCTGTTTCTTATCTAATACATAGATTGAATTACAAGAACACCTTACTTTGATTGTGGCTTGTGTGATTCTTGCTCTTAGCCATGTCACGTTCACAAAGTTGATTTTCCGCCAAGTGGCTGGACAGAGAGAATGATTGAAACAATAGGCATCTGATATTTCAGTTTACAAATATCACTCTCTTGATGTGGATACCTGATCCAAGTTTCGGAAACTTATTTATATCCTGTTCTTACGTGTCTCAGAACTATGAGGAGAGACTTAAGAAGGAGCCAACTATTGTGACTTGTCAGATGATTCAAATGATTGTTAACGGGATGGAGGAAGCTTTTGCCCAACTGTCTTCCGCATCTAAATCCACTGAACAGCTGTTTCTCATGGTTGCCAACACGCTTAAGGTAAAGAGAGAGCTAACTTGGCGGTTAAAATGCGATTAATTCCGAGCAGATCCCACTGATATCTGAAGCATCAAGCCAGGATCTAAAGCGGCCTTAATTACCTCGGCAGAAAAGGCA